CCTCCCTCCGTTCCTCCCTCCCTCCCTCCCTCCCTCCCTCTTCCCTCTTCCCTTCCGTCCTCCCTCCTCCCCCCTCCCTCCACACTCCTCCCTCCTCCTCCTCCTCCTCCTCTCCGTAGCCATTTTGGCTCAAAATGCCCGCACTCGGGGGCTCCGCGCCTCCGTGCCAAAATCTGAGCTGCCAGAGCAGCACTGTGTTCTCGGTGATTTCGGGAGAATCGCACCGCCCAGCTGCCAGCGCAGTTGGGGTTTGAGCTCCCTCTCGACCTGTCAATCAGCCATGGCGCCGCGCCCATTCTCTTGGTGTACCTGCGGCAACTGGACGTACAACTTCCGCCTGCTGCACAACGGCGGATTATGTGGCAAGTGCGGGGAGCAGGTCACACTCTTCAAGCCTGACGCTGCAGCGGCGAAAGGCAACGGCAAAGGTAAGAAAGGCATCCACAGTTACAAGGGCGGCAAGGGCGAGGACAAGTCGGCGTGGCACTTCGGCAGTGGCAAAGGCACGCAAGGAGCCTGACATCTCGCAGATGCTCAGCATCCTCTCGAATGTCCCCGCCCTCGCTGAGCACGCCGACGTGTTCCGCCAGGCTGACAACTCCTTCAAGGCGAGCAAGGCAACGCCGGTATCGCCCAAACAGGAGGTCTACCGCTGCAGCCAGACCCTGGAGAAGAAGGAGATGGCTCTTCAGAAGGCCTCTGCAGACGTCATCAAGCTGGAGACGGCACTCCAGGAGGCCAAGCTGTGGCTCCACCAGACGGCGGAGGAGGCCCTCTCCGCGAAGCGGGCCCACACGCTGGCGGTCAAGGCCCTCGCCGACTCCACGGGCGCCGCCAAGACGCAGGACGGCTACACCGCGGACGGCAAGAAGATCTACCTCGCGATGGATGAGTTCGACTTCGCTACCAGCTACGAGTTCGACGACGCGCAGAAGGCCCAGCTCAAGGCCATCCAGAAGCAGGTGGAGGAGCACTGCAAGAAGGTGGAGGACCTCCAGAAGACCATGCAGGAGGCGCTCAAGAGCGTCAAGGAGATCCGAGCTGCCCCTGCGAAACGGCAGCGTGGTCAGGACGGTCCCGTCCCTGGTCCTGGCGCAGCAGAAGCTGAAGGCCCTGACGAAGACCAGGCACCTGCTGCGGAGGACGGCCCCACCATCGCAGTCTCAGAGAGCGACATCGCCGCCAAGATCGCGAGCGCCAGGGAGGCCACGCTGGCCAGCATGGGCGACTTCCCTCCCCTGGGCACTGGCAATGGTGCTAGGAGCTCTCGCGACGGCGCGCCCAGAGCTGCAGCTGCGGCCGCGCAGCGAGGGTGACCTACCCATCGGCCTGGGAGGAGGAGGCCACCCGAGGCCAGGTGACACCCTTCAGCCGCCCCTCCCACCACACGGCCTCTCCTGCATTCGTGCCCCCGTTCCAGAGAACTACGATGCGACGTACTTCTTCTCGAACATCTCGGAGCGGGGCCCGCAGGCGGAGGGATTCGTGAAAGCCCAGGCGGAGCAGTACGATGTCATAGGATTCGCGGAGATGCACCTGCGAGGCGTGAAGGTCCTGGGCATCACAGAGAAGATCGGCAAAGACGGATGGAAGGCCGCCGTCACCGCCGCAGCGCCGTCGGGCAGAGCAGCTGAAGGCACGACGGGCGGCGAAGCCATCATTTCCAAGCGTTCACTGGCCACCACGACGTTCGAGGGGTGGCGCAAGCACGAGATCGAACGGTCTGCAGTCGACCCCTTTCAAGGATTTTGCCCCACGACGTGGCACACGAAGGCTGGCAACATCGTCGTCATCTCCGCGTACATGCAGCCGAAGCACGGCTTCAAGGGCCCCAACGAGAAGATGATGATCAGGCTAGCCAGCTTCATCAATATGATATCCGACCCGTGGGTTGTCCTCGCCGACTGGAACAACCCACCAGAGGCATGGGAAGGAACCAAGTGGCTGCGCAAGATCGGCGGCCATCTTATCCTCCCTGAGAACACGAAGACCACCTGCAACTTGGGGCGCGGGTCCCTCATTGACTACGGGATCTGCAAGAGCGGGTCCGGCGGCCCCCTCAAGCTCGAAGCAGTCCCTGAGGTCCCCTGGAAGACCCACGTGGGATTACTGCTCTCCATACGTGCGGGGAAGCAGCACTGGCGGCATAGGGCTATGTGTATACCCAAGCAGCTCCCGTCGGCGGGACGACCAGCCAAGAAAGCGGACCCGAACAGCAAGCGCCAGAAGTTGCTAGCCGAGCGGCACCAGCGGGCAAAGGCCAGACTCCAGGAGGAGCTACAGGACGCATACGAGGAGCTCCACAACTGGCCAACCACGCAGGACACACACAGCAACGACTCGGTCACCTTCGACATACCGATTGAGGTGTGGCACTCGGCAGCCGCTACGGTGGCAGGACTGGGAGAGGACAAGGGCAAACACGTGAGGAAGGAGTCGAACGACGACCAGGACAACTACCCCTCCTCCCACTTCCTGCTGACCCGTGACGTTGAGGCGCAGAAGAAGGTTGCCAAGGCGTTCGGCGACTGGGTGCAGACAGTGGAGAAGGCCACGCTCAAGCACCAAAACATTCCCGAGTCCGATTGGAAAAAGTACGAAGGCAGAGCCAGAGAGCATGGGATCACTTGGCGAAGAACCCGTGCCACACCAGCCCGTACACACATGCGGGACCCAATCGTGGAATGGTGGCATCTGGCAACGACGATCATATCCAGATATCAGCTAATGAGGCGCAAGTTCGCAGAGCAGGACTACAAGCGCATGGCAATAAAAATGCAGGAGCTGCTACAACTTCCTCGACAAGTACAACGACCCAGAGGACAAGAGGACCCTGGAGGAGTGGACTAAGGCCATCACCGACTTAGACGGACAGAACATCGACTCGCTGCAGGCCCTACTGGAGTTCGGCCTGAGGTTTCAAGCCCGCGCGGTGGGTACTGGACTCGCCAACGGCAGGCGGGCGTTTGCAAGCTGGGTCACACGCATGTGGAAGCAGGCTCCAGGTGCGTTACACCGACATGCGAAGCCAGCTACTACT